CCTGGTGGGGCTCGGGGCCCAGACACTGTGCTGAGGGTCGAGCCCGAATCAACTGCATGCCAGGCAGGTGCCCACACTTCTTACAGGATGACCCCAAGAAGCCTTGTCGCCCCAGCAGTCAAGCTATGGCATGGAGGAGCGGCTGGTGTACGTGAGTGTGCCAGTGTGTGTGCCTTCTGTGTATATGTCTGTGTCTGTGCAAACGTGTGTATATGCACGCACACGTGCGCATGGATGCAATGTGTCCATTCATGTACACGTGTACATGTGTGTGCGTGTTTATACAAATATGTGTATGTGCATGTGTTTGTACAGATGTACACATGCACGCACCCATGTGTACACGGATGCATTCATGTGCATGAGTGTGTGAATTCATCTGTATGTGTTTATGTGTGTGCATTTCGGGTGTCGATCTGTGTTTGTGCACACGTGCATTCATGTGTATGTATGCTTGTGTATGTGTGTGCCTGTGCGTAAGAGCACATGTGTCTGTGTGGGCAGGCGTGTGCCCGTGTGCACTGCACATGTGGCTTCGTCTGGGGGGTGCCTGGGTCCACACCCCACTATTCCTCTTCTCCCACTGCCTCCCCCTGTGCTCAGAAAGACCTTCCCTGAGTCCTCCGAGTCCCTAACCCCTTTCCCAGAGCACAGCCATTCCCTTCGCTGGGCTGAGCCTCAGTTTCCCCTCCTACGAGCCAAGAGAAGCGTAACCCCCCCTCCCAAGTCTCCCCGTCGGAGAAGTCAGGCCCCGCGGGGACAGAGCTGGCCAGGTCCTTGTGCGTGGGGGCCCCGGGAGCAGCGCAGGCCGGAGCGTGAGCCCCCTGCCCCCCGCCCCCCCGCGGCACCCCACCCACCATCCTGCCCGCCGTGTGCGCGCCCGCCAGCCAGCCGGAGCGCGCGTGTGTGACTCAAGGTCTATTCATAGCCGCGCTCCGCCAGCTGCAGCGTCACAGGCGGGGCCTCGGCCCATATTATTATTTCAATTACCATCTGAATTAAAAGTTTGAGCAGCGATCAGCCCACGTAGCCAGGGGAAGAAGGAGCAGGAGAAAAATAAAGATGAAAAGGAGGCGCGGGGCCCTGCCCGGAGACCCCCTCCCCCGGGCGCTGAGGCGGGCATCTCTCCGGAGGGTGACGCCAGCCGCCCGGGGTCCTGCCCTGGCCGGGGACCCGGCACTCGTGGGCACCGGGTGGCAGCCCACGGAGCCGCTGCAGTGCAGTCACTGGGAGGTGAGGCGGGCGGGACACGCAGTGTCCCCTGTCCTCCCGCTCGTGACCGCCACGTGGCTGGCCCCAGGGCCAGAGCAGACGGCGGATGAGGCTTTTCTCGGCTGCCGGCGGCCCACCAGGCCGCCCGTAACCTTAACCCGGGTGTACCCGGCCCCAGCCCCAGCTGCCATCGCCCCCGGGACCAGAGTCCAGACGAGGAGCAAGACCTTGTCCATTTCTCTGCGTCCATCTCCCCGTCGGCCAGACCCAGACCCAGAGGGGATGCCAGGCGGAGGGTCCAAGCCCAGCGCCCAGGAGGGATGCCCGACTCTTCCGCAGAGCAGCACCAGTGACAGTGCTCCCCGCCCCCGCCAAACTGGCCAGGCACGTCCCGGTCCCGCTGTGTGACCTTGGGCCAGTCACGAAGACTCTCTGAGCCGTGGCTCCCCCACCTGTCCACACGCAGGGGGCCTCGCGGCGGGGGGCATTTGCACAGGCTCCCAGCCTCCTGCTGCTGTCAGAGACGAGGGGACGGGCACAGCCCCGGGCTCGGAGGTGGGGGGGCATTCGCCTCGGCCGCCCACCCCCACAGTTGCCCCTGAGCTCTGGGTCCCTGGAGGTCCCCGGGTCTGGGGAGGGCACATTCCCTCTCCCCAGCACGCCCTGTCCCGTCTCCTGTCTCTCTCCACTCCAGCCCCTGGCAGGCGAATCTTCTGGAAGGGACTAGAATCTTTCTGCTCAGCCCCAAGTGCAGCCCGAGACTCTCCGGGACGGTCAGAGACTGGCTTTAAGATGTACCCGGGAGCGAGCTGGGCGCAGGACACACACAGAGATGTTCTAGCAGCGGCTGGGGGCGGGGGTGGCCTGCATGTCTGTCTGTCTGTCTGTCGGTCTGCCTCCCGGCAGGGCTGGGCCCCAGGAGCTGGGGTTCAGGCTCCTGGCTCTGCTTCCCCCACCCCAGACCCTCACGATGACCTTGGGTGGGGGTCCGGGCCTCAGTTTCCACTTTTGTAAAGGGAGGGGTGCGGCTGGAAGGCTGAGGCTCCGAGCCGTCTGCCTGGATTGAGGTCTCGGCCGTCCCGGGACCCCCTCCTGAATGCGGGGTGGGTGCACTTGGATTTCCCATCTCCAGCCCAGCCTGTGTGCGTCTGGAGGCGCGCCAGGCCCTCTGGCTATAGTTCCAGCCAGAGACCCAGCCCTGCCCCTGTTCCCCTTCTTTCCTGCGTGATGCCTCGGCGGGCGCTGGCCCCATTTCACAGGCAAGGAGACTGAGGGTTAGGGGCGGTGCTCAAGGTCACACGCGCCGCTTCAAGTTCAGGACGCCTGGCACTGGCCAGGCGGCTCGCAGGACTCAAGGGCATTTAGGGGAGTCCCTCCTGGCTCCCCAAGAGGCTCCCCCCTCCCCTCCGGGCTCAGACTCTGGATGGGGTGAGAGAGGGCGCAAGGTCACGGAGCTGGATGGGACCCAGCGCCCCAGCACCCCCTGGCTGGCACCTGCCTGAGCTCTCTGGGCCTGCTCGCCCGAACCCGAACCCGGGAGCAGAAGAGAGGGAGCGGAGGGACAGGCAAGAAAGTTGAAGGCTGGTGGCCACTGTCCCCCCCCAGCCCCTTCCCCTCCCGCTCCGGGCGCCGCGTGCAGGGGACCGGCGGTGATGTAATGCGCTCGGCTTTGGCGCTGGTGCCGATCTCAGAAGAGACGACAGATTGCGCGAGCCAAATTTGGCATCCTGGGGGGAGAGGCACGGAAAGTGGAGATGTGGGGGAGAGAGGGAGGCGCGGGGAGGCGCCGAGGAGGCCCCCTGCCCCGCAGACCCCCAGGCCGGGCCAGGCCGCCCCGCCCGCCCCGCCCGCGCCCCCCTCCCAGATCTGCCGCACCCGGAGAAGCTCCTCCAGCTGCACCCCCGACCCCCAGGGCCACCCCCCGGGGCTGGTCCTACCCCCCCACCCCCTTGCCTCCCCCCCACCCCGGCACATCCTCCCGCTTCCCGATTCCCACCGCCGCCGAGTCTCCTGGTTACCGTGTTGCTGGTTGTCATGTCGCTTACATGTCCTCGTGACTCAGTGGTCCCCGCAGAGGGGCCCCTCCTCCTCACACACCCCCCTCCCTGCGCGCGCCCCCGCCTCCCCCAGATCCACATTAAGAAGCAGCACGCCCGTGAGCCCACACTTCCTCCCCCCGCCCCCCCACCCCCGCGCACACAGCCTCCGGGAGCACGGACACCCCGGACCCCCGAGAGGGCCTCGCTGGCATCCCGAGCCTCCAGCTGGAGGCTCAGGCCCAGAGAGGCCACGCGCACGGCCCAGCAGAAACTCCAGGTCAAGTTTGCTGCGGGGGGCGGAGGGGGGCAGTGGACGCCGTGGCGCTCTCTCTCAGTGGGCTCAGGAGGGACTCCTCGAATTCTAGGACCTCCCCCCCACCCTCATCCTCAGTCTCACGCCGTCCTGCCCCCCCAAACCCCACCCGGGGGCCTCGTGCTGCTGTCTGTCCCGACTGCTGTTACTTGGGGGTCCAGGGCACTGGGGGGCCGGGGGCTGTCCCTGCCCACCACGTGGACGTTAGGGGCGCTGGGGAGAGGGGCTGCCCCAGTGCTGGCTCCTGGGTCGGCTGGGTGGTTTCTCAGTGCTAGGACCAAGGACAGAGGGAGGAGGGGGAGGCCCAGCAGCCCGGAGACCCCCTCCTGCTAACAGGGACAGAGTCAGCCGTTCTGGGCACGGCGGGAGGACCCGGCTGAGTGGCCGGCAGCCTCACGGCCGCCTCTGCCTGGGCCTGTCCCCTTCTGAGCCCACAACAGCCTTCATGTGGCTCTAACCCCCCCCCCCACCAACTAGTGCCAACAGCCCCCCAAAGTCCCAAAGGTCTGAGGGAGACACAGCCAGAGAAATCTGACGTGAACATGGGCACACACGGGGGGCTCCTGCCCCACCTGGCGCTCTCAGCTGTGGCCCTCTGCGGCCCCCCCAGCCCCCCCACCCTACTCTGGGCATGAGGGGTGGGGGGGAGCCCTGAGAGGGGAAGTTTCCCCGGTTCGGGGCTCGGTGCAAGCTCTCCGTTCTCCGGAGTAAGCTGTCCGCCTCTCTCCCCCCACGGATCCGGGAAATACCACTTTGAGAAAAATCACTGTCCACCCACCCCGCGGTGGGGGCGGGGGTGTCCCAGGCAAAGTGACCCTCAAACCCCAAGAGGTGGGATTTGGTCCACAGACAGACGGGCCGTCCGCGGAGAGGAAGGACTTGGGAAGGTGGAAGGGGAAGGTTCACACACACACACACACACACGAAACTCACACTCAGATACACACTCACACATGCACACAATACTCACACACTCGGGTACACACTCACATACACACATATACACAACACGCTCGTCTGCACACACTCAGATATACACATATACACGACACGCTTTTTCACACACGCTCAGATACACACACTTTCACACACACTCTCTTACACTCAGAGAAGCCCGCGCGCATGTATACACACGCACGCACGCGCGCGCGCGCGCACACACACACATACACACACACACATCCCCTGCTGCAAGTCCCCTGCCTCCAGGCTCCTCTGCACCCCAAGTGACAACTGGGGGCGGGAGGAGGCGGCGGGCAAGGTCGCGGCCGGGGCAGGAGGTCAGCGCCGCCCCCGCCTCCGTCCGCTGCGGGGCGGACCCCCAGACCGCCCCACCCGCGCGCGCCCGCTCCCGGGGGTCCCTGGACGCACAGACACACGCACACACGGCCGGACAGACAGCGGACGGCGCCCGCGGGGGCGCTCTCCGGGCTTACCGCGGGGCGCAGGGTCCGACGACAGTCCGGGGGGCCGCGGGCGGGCGGGCGCTACATCCCGCGGCGCGGGCGGCGTCGGGGGCGCGGGAGGCGAGTCCGGGGCGCCCCCTCCCCGGGAATCGGCGGCCGGCCGGCCCCGCCCCCTCGGCGGCGACCTGGGGGTCGGGTCTCCGCGGGCCGGGGTCCCCCCGCGGCGGGTCCCCGCCGGGCGCGCAACTTTCAGCGCCGGCCCGCGCCGCGCCCTGGGCGCCGCCGGGGCGTCAGCATCGTGGGGGCCCCGGGCCGGGGCTCAGAGCGCGGGGCTGCGGGGGCCCATGGCTCGCGCCCCCCGCCCCCCGCGGCTCCCTCGCCGACCCCCGACCCCCGCTCGGCCGCCACCTCCCCGCCGGGACCCCTCCTCCCCGGCCCCTCGCCTCGCCGACCCTCCCGGCCCCCGCGGGCTCGCCGTCCCTCCGGGGGTGCCCGCGTCCCGCCGCCTCCCCCTCGCCGCGCGCCCGGCTCGGGGGTCCCCCCGCCGCCTCGGACCCGGGCCCCGGCCTGGCCGCGTCCCGGCTCGCCCCGGAGCCCCGGCGCCCGCCGCCCGCCGCGCGCCGACGACTCCAACTCGCCGCACGCGCCCCGCGCGCCGAGACTTCGCCCCTCCTCGCACGTGACCCGCGCCCCGCTGCGGAGGCCGCGCGCGTCCCCCCCACGGCCCGCGCCGCCCCCCGCCCCGCGCCGCGCGCCGGCCCCGCCCCCGGCCCCCTCGCGCCGCACCCCTGCGCGCGGCGGGGCCGCGGGGGGCGCGGGGCCGGGGATGGAGAGGGGGGCTGCTCCCGCCGTGGATCCTGCCCGGGTTTTCCGCCTCCCCCCACGAGCGCCTCCGGGCACCCGCTCCGGGATTCCGCGCCCGGGTTTTGCAGCCCCCGGGGCAGGTGGGAAGGTCCCCCCCAGCGGCCGATGGGTGGGTGGGCGGGTGGGAGCGGGTCGGCGGGCGCCGGACACTCCTCCCCAGGACCGCTCGCCCACCCCCCGCCGCCCCCCGACGTCTGGGGAGTCAGGGAGGCGCTGCACCCCGCTCGCGCCCGGGCACCCGCGAGCCCCAGGCAGCTCCGCCCCGTTTCGCAGACCGGCAGACTGAGGCCCGCCGCCGGGCGCTGGCTCTCGGCGAGCCCTTGGCTCCGGTTAATGGGCCGAGGGGGCGTCCGCTGCCGCCCCCTCCCCGCCCTGAGTGTCCTGCGCGTGGAGAGGGGAACCCGCAGCTTCGGCGGTCTCGCTGACCGCCCGTGCCGAGGCCGAGGGGCAGAGTCCCGGCCCGACACGGTGGGGGTGGGGCCGAGACCCCCAAGGGCCCCGCGCAGCCCGCAGGAGTCCGGCCCCATCTGGCAGAGAGACCCAGAGACCCCCCCCAAGAACCCCAGGACTGCCGATCAAGTCACCACCCCTTCTGCTGCGCGCTCACTGCGCGCTCAGCCCCGGAGCCCGCGGCTTCCCCGGGGGTCCTCCTCCACGGCCGGACCCCCGGCCCCACGCCTCGGCCCCTGCTGGCCCCGCACCCCGCACGCGCCCACCCCGACCCACAGACCCGAGCGGCCGCGGCTCCCCCAGAGGCTCGGCCCCGCTCTGCTCGGGGCCGCCCGCGCGCGCTCCTCCAAGTCCAGCCTCCACGCCACCTCGCCGGGAAGGCTCCGGAGGGCCCCCCCAAACTCATTCATTCACCCAGCGCGGCGCCCACCGGCTCCAGCGCCCCCAGCCAGCGCGTGGGGGTCGGGCGTCGGGCCAGCTCGCGGGCAGCGCTCAGGCGCCGCACGACCTTGAACACGGTCCGCCCCGACCTGCCCGCTGCCAGGAGACTGCGCCCGGGGATGCCGGCTCAGAGTCGCCCCAGGGACCCCCGCTCCTGCTCACCGGACCCCCTGCACCGAGGTTCAGCTCCCGGCTTCTGCGTCTGTGCAGAAGGGGGGATTCAAAGCAGGAGGGGGGAGGCGGGCGCGGGGCTCTCCCCGGCTGGCCCCTGGAAGGTGGGGTGCCGAGGAAGGACATGGAGGAGACCAGGGGTCCCCAGCACCCCGCACAGGCGCGAGGGAGGGTGGGGGACTGCGGGAGGGTTCAGGGGTGAAGGGGCCCCTCTGCAGGGGCCGCCACCCTGGGCCCCCATCCTGCGCCCCACTCCTCCCTCCAGTAAGGAGGTGCAGAGTCCAGAGACACACTCGCAGGGGCCCAGGAACCCAAGCCCCTGGGGGACCAGCAGCAGAGAGGGGCTTCTGTGAGGTCAAGCCCCCGCCACACACTCACACACACACACTCATACGCTCACACACAACCATACACTCGCATTCACACACACTCACACAGCCATATACACCCTCATACCCCCTCATGCATTCACACTCACACACATTCATACACTCACACCTATACACTCACACAGTCACACACACTCATATACTCACGTGCACTCACACACACCCATACACTCACATACATGCTCACACACATTCACACACTCACTCATACACACACTCACACACCCATACACTCACGCGCACTCACACACACATCCACTTACTCACACACACTCATACAGTCTCACACATCCACTCACACACACATACTCACACTCACATACTCACACACATACACACATTCATACACTCACACGCACATTCACACACATGGACTCTCACTCTTTCCTGCTCACTCACAAACTCACACTCATACACACTCACATTCATACACACCCACATACATGCTCTCACACACATACTCAAATACTCTTATGATCACACTCAGTGTCATTCACACTCACTCACACTATCACACACGCACTCACTCTCATATCACACTGTCACACCCACCCACTCTCTCACACACACTCTCATCACACCCTCACACTCTCAAACTCACTTTCACACACACTCGCACACACAACTTTCACGCAGTCTCAGACACACACCCACACACTCACTTCTAAATACACACACTCTTCCAATGCACTCGGACACACACTTCACGCTCACTCACTCACACACTCTCCCCTCAGCCCCTCAGGGGTGCTGCCCGACTGGCCGACTGGCCGCCCTCTCGTCCCCAGAGCTGTCGTGGGGTGCTGACCGACCTCACCGTGTCCATCAGCCCTGAGAGCTTCCAGTACAGGGGGGTCAGGGAGCAGGTGGGGACAGGGATGCTAGTACCTCAGACCCTGCCTCACCCCGGGCCGTTTGCCCTCTGTGGCCTGAACGGCTGTCAGTAACGAACAGTGGACCGGGTTCCCCCAGACAAATGGATGCACCCTGGACGGAGGGAGAGGACAGGAGAGCTGCCCGGGGCATCCTGTCACCTGCCAACAGCTTTGTAACCGACACCTGTTGGTGCTGGGGAAACTGAGTCATGGGCTGACTGGTGGTGCGTGAGGCTGGGGACAATTGTGTGGTAAGGGTGAGGCTTGTCCCGGTGATGGCAGCTTGGTCACTCCGTCCATCCTGCCGGTCTCCCGTGGCCCTCACCACAGCTCTGAGGCAGGATAGCGCTGCAGCCCAGATGGGATGCAGAGATGGGGCGGGGGGGGGGGGGGGGACTGCCCTGGTCAGCACCAGAGATAAGCCAGTGTCTGAGGCCAACGCAGCCGTCCCCAGTGGGGGCCCAGGCAGAGCCCGGAGGGTTCGAGCAGGGGGACAGGGCGTTCTGGCCGGGAGGGGCATGTGGGCCAGGTGGCGACAGGGGCGGGGGCAGAAAAGGGGGAGCCCTTCCAAAACGCCAGCAGCGTGGGGCTGGGGAGTTCCCGGTGCCAGCCGGCCCATTCTCCAGACCTGGCCAACGGAGGCCGACAGCTGCTGAGAGGCGAGATCAGCCCAGGACACGGCGGGCAGCAGCAGCACCGAGTGCAGGGAGCGCAGGGAGGACCCCCGGGGGTCCAGAGGATCCGAGAGACGCCAGTACTCCCGGCGGAGGGGCGGTGGGGGTCTCTCCCGCCCTCCGCTCCCACCTCGCCCACCCCCAGCACTCGGTACTCACCAGGGTGGAATATTTTAGCACCTATAGAAAAACTGCCACAGACGGCCGTGCGGCTGTTGCTAAGGCGACGCTCCCAAAATAGCCCCCTCCGCCAACCTTTCCCGCTGCCGCGCCTGCTGTGCAGGGAGGAGGCCGGCGGGGAGGGGGCGGCACCGAGCCCTGGCCCCGGGTTCACCCGCCCGCCCAGGCCGGACAGCGACCGGGCGGGCCCAGGTCTGCGGGGGCGGCAAGAGGAGCCCCGCCTGCCTGACTGCCTGCCAGTGGCCCCGCCACTGTCCGCAGCCAGCCCGCGGGAGGAAGGTCACCCAGAAGGGGAGAGATGGGGGGCGGCGTTCCCGCCCCCCGCACGCGCACGGGACACAGTTCCCGCGAGCCCCACCGCGCCGTCGTCGAGCGCGCACAGAGCCCGGGAAACACCTGCGAGCACCTGGCACGTGCCCGGGGCCCCGCGCTCCCGCGCGCGAGCACGCACCGCTGTGGGCGCGCCTGGCACGCGGACACGCGCTGGCGCTGACCGGGGGTGGGTGGGTGGGTACCCCGCTGGCACGCGCGCCCAGTGCTCTCGGAGCGCGCGCGCGCGCGCAGCTGGGACACAGGGGGCTGTGTCCTAGGGCGCCCAGATGCACTCAGTGAGCGGGGAACTGCAGGGTCCAGGGTGACCCGGAGGACGGGAGCACCAACCAGGTACACCTCTGGGCATCTCCGGAAAACGGGTGCCTTGGTACCACGGAGAGCTGCCCTGGACCCATTTCCTGGGAAGGTTAAACTGAAGGACGAATTTCATCTACAGGCGGGAAACCTCCTCCAGGAAACGTTAGGGACCCGGTTCGTGGGCAGCAAGGAAGGCGCTGGGGACAGGCACAGTTGAGGAAGTGATGTCGGGGCCAGAGGGATGATTCTTAACACCTGCAGAAACGCTTGACAGTTTCCTAGCCCTCATTTTGGTTTTGTTTGGGGGACCACATCCAGCGATGCTCAGGCGCCCCTCCTGGCTCTGCATGCAGGAGTCACTCCTGTTGGTGCTTGAGGGACCATAGGGGATGTCAGGGATCGAACCCGGGTCAGCTGCGTGCAAGGCCAAGGCCCTCCCCACCTGTTCTATCGCTCTGGCCTCTCCTAGCCCCTTTCATGCACGTTTTTCACGTCCTTGGTACCAACCACCTGGGGTGGTGGCATCCCCATGCATGAGGTCCAGACAGAAAAGGGGATTTGAAGGCGGGGCAGCCCTCAGGGATCAGAAGCGGGGTGGGGGGGGTCCCTGAAT